GTGCGGACAATGGGTACAGTCACTCATCCCTGGACTCCAGGGAAACGCTCTGGGGCTTGGAGCATTCACCACGTCTACAGTTCCCCGCAATGTTGCCTCCTCGTCTTCGAAAAGCTGAAGGAAAATGTCAACAACGAAAAGTCCGCTTCACTTGCAATAAAAGGGGCAGAGATACTCCTAAAAATCATGATAGCGTTAACAAGATTGTTATGAATGCAAGTGCTCCCAGGCCACAAGTACCAAGAGAAAAGAGTCACATGGGCAGAAAAGAAATGATTCAGCTCGGGACGCCGGCAATTTATCTGACATATGGCGATTTATTGCGCGCAGGAAGCAGAAAAAATTGAGGAGGATCGGCTACAGCAACAAAGGCGGGGGAGAAGGCTGCCCGGCAAAAAAAAAAACAAAGAGAACTGCAGAAAGAACAGTAAGCAGAAGCGAAAAAGCTGAGGGCACAAAAAAGTCTGGGAAGCATGAAAAGTGGCAAGGCCTCAAAGCCTGTCAACTCAACCAAGAAGCGGGCACGATCAACTGCGGTTCCAAAGGCGCACGAAGGCCCCTCCCCAACGGCGTCAATTCCTCATCATTCCCCATCAACGTTGCCGCGTCCGCGTTACTTGGTCTTTCTGGTGCCGGTCAAATTACCAAATGGGAGATTCTGTGATTGGGGGGGTGATGTCACCCTAATTCTGCAAGCTGTCAGCAACAGCATGCAGAATTAGACAATCGGGGGCGTGACAGGGGAAAAGGTGGATGGCATGGAGGGTGAATAGGAAGGGGATGGACGGCTCCGTAGGTGATTTTCATATGTCACCATCGTTTCCAATCACAACGGAAAATAGACCTTTTTCTAAACATCTGTGTATTGCCGCACCAATAAAGGAAAATTCGAGGATTCTCTGATCCAGTACGGCTAGAGATTCTGTATCTCCTCCCGGTTGATTAGCAAACGCAGAGCATCCATCACTACCAGTCTGACCTCATTTGGGCAAGGGGAAGTAGTTTTTCAAGTTAATTTAAAAAGATGTTACCAAATTATACTTTCGTGGAAGGGTACATTGTACAGGGTACTGTTGTGGATTCTCCCATTTGTGAGGTGCCGTGATAGACCTCAAGTGATATGTTAAGGGGTGGCAGCTTATTCTACAGGCAATAGGTGAGAGCACAACAGGCTCGTGGGGTCGTCTTTTCCCCACCGGTAAAACTCTGTCCTTCCTCTTTCTTTTGCTATGAGTCATCCGACTTGCTCTACTTATACTGGTAGCTTATGCCCTTTGGCGTTGTTGTTCCAGGGGAGATCATTCTCCGCAAGTAGAACAATTAGCAAATTGGCTTGTCCCCACTAAATTTACTCACCTGACTGCAGAATGCAACTCTAACCAACCAACCAACAGTGGTATCTTGGGATGCAATCCTTTTGAGTTGAGATCCTAATTGACAAAAGTCAACCACATCCCGACTGCAAACTATCCATCGCCGCAGAGAGCCACAGTCTTCCTGTATCTTGCCTCAGTAAAACGTGTAGCGATCTGCACATCACCCAAGTCACCCAAGTCCGGTAGAGGTACTGCAGTTGCTGCAACCAGAAAAAAAGAATCCTTTTTCTCCGCTCCCATCATTCAAACTTTCGCTAACATAAAACCACTCCATCCAATCTTCCGAAACGCTTTGTAGAATTCAAGAGAAAGGGGATGGGGAGGGGGAGTCCAACTCTGTCATCAAACCCTCATGGAATGGTAAAGATGCGTGTAGGGAGGAGATATCCTTCGTAGGGTGGCGCAAACTGATTGGCAATGACACTGCTTGATTCTTGAGACATTATTAACAGTATCTCTATAAATAAAAATTGCTTCCACGACCTCCTCCCTCATTTCTTCTTGAACTGCCTCAATATTCTGTTTTTTTCCAAAAGGGGAGTGTGCAATTGATACGTCCTCTACGTCGCCAAGATAACCATCATTTCAGCTTGACTCAAAGTGTGGTAGGCTGCATCGCGCAGAGCGACGGGCGTCGCTGTCAGGGGAAGAGCGCTGGCAAAAAGGAAGGGTACAGAAGTCCCCCCGCTGCCTCCCTTCCTCCAGGTGGGGGGAGGAGCGGTACGTATTTATTAGGGCGAGCGGCGAGCTCGCGGGTGCGCGCGGGCCAATACAAGACAGCCAAGTAGGCGCGCGGGATTGCGTGCGCTGGATGCTCCACGTGTACACGTGCTTGTGTGCCGCGCTCCACGTGTACTGCGCGCCGCACAAAGACCCTGATTTTTCAACACCGGTATCGCGAAGACACCATCCGGGGGGGGGGGGGAGGGGGGGCGGAGAAGGTTGTAGCACGGGGGCTAGCTAGCCGTGACCATTCTTCAAAGGTGACTTTCGTTGGCAGCACGCCGGATTCACTGCGTCCACTACGAACACTAGTGTAAAGAAGTATGTGTATTCCCTCCGCATTCCTAGTCCTCCGCATTCCTAGTCCTCCGCATTCCCTAGTGTCTAGTGTAGTGTTTATCCGACCAAGCGTTATCATAACATAAAAATCTACGAATTTGACTTCTCTTTTCAACTTTGATAGCCACAGTTTCTATTTTTCTTTGGTAGAATGACTCATTTTTTTCTAAAGTTCGAACGGAATAGAAAGCTCTCAACTCAATCTTTCTATGCTGCTGGTATAAAATTATCTTAAAGAAAAATGCTTGCTGTGGGCCTACTTTTTCTTTTGAACACTTTTACATGCATCAACGACTTGGTTTCCGCTAGAATCGACAAGCTAATGACTTACCTGTGGTGATCGCCTTTTAGTTTCAAAAAGCAGAAGTGAAATCGCGCCTTGGGTTGTTTAGAAAAAATAAAATAATCTTTGTCTTCATATGAGGGTTATCGGTCCGGTAGACACTGGTCTAGACGACAAGCTATATGCCTCATAAGAGGTCACGATTGGCGGCCTCATAAGAGGTCACGATTGGCCTCTTATAGCGCCAGCTTTTTATACACACGTTAAATCGAAACTTTATAAAGTCAGTTCGGACACCATTTCTTTAACGTACATGCCCTCTGCAATAACATCTTGCAAGACATTTAGATAGCAGTTGTGAATACACAGAAAACCTAAGAATATAATCAAGTTTCAACACGCGGTTGATATATTGAACAGGCGTTTCGGTTCCGAAGATATCAACACATAACGTTTTGAGGTTGGTCAAAAAGGCTTCTTTTTTAGGCATTCTAAAAATGGCTGGAAAAGACGTGCACATCTCACCAAACTCCATTCTTCCACAACGCAGAAGTCAACTGCAGTGGCGAGATTATATTTTTTCTTCTTGTTGAGCACCACAAGTCGAGAAAAATATGTTGAAAAGTAGCCTCATATGAGGTCACTTGTCGTCTGGGCACTAGAGCACATGTAAATTACACTACCTATATTTTCTGTATGCCGTTTGCCTCTAGTTCACAGATCCAGCCTTCTGCATATGTAATAGGAGGCACCCTTAGGGTGACCCCACCGCCAACTAAATTTCTGTCCTAAAATTCCAACCACTAAAGTTTGGACCGATGGACTAAAGTTCGGACCGATGGAAGAAATTTTGAACCCCACCGCGCCACAATTTGTCCTAAAGTTTAGAATTTGGGAAGGATTCTTTTCCAAACCAAAATTATTTGGTCGAGATTTTTGTCCAAAGCGCCGTTTGGGCGAGCTTCGTTCTATAGTAACGGTACAGAAAACATCTGAATTTCATGTGCTTACAGCTCTACCAAAGCTCTTCCAAATGGCTTTGGGGCTGTTTTGACTGAAGTCCCATCAATAGTGTGGGACGCAAAAAGGAGTGTTGGGCAGCCTTCGCTCGTGGACATTTCCCATCTTCTCCCTCCTTCTCGTCTTCTGAGAAGTGCAGGCAATGGCTGAGGTGGTTACTAGGACTGATGACTCGGCAGTAAGAGTGAGGAAAAAGGGTAAGGGACTGGGGTGGTCAGACGAGGAGAATCTTGCCCTGTGCGTTGCTTAGAGCGCAGTGTCTGAGAACGCCGCGAATTGAAAGCGTGGCGTACTTGCCGAGTTGATAATTCCCAAACAGGAGCCTACATATTATGGAGAGCGGGCAAGTGACGAGCAAAAGTTGCCGCCAATTGTGGAACAGACGCGTGCAGTAGCTTGCTTCTTTGCGCCAAATGTATTTCTACGACATACTTGTAGCCTAATTGGGGTGACCCTGAATATGAATAGATGTATCGTGTTACAGGCGCGGTGGGGTTCATCTCTGAATCACCACCTCCCCCAAAGCGCGGCTTGATTAAAAGATAGTAGATCCAATTACCGGAGGACAACTGTCTGCTTTTTGCGATTTTGGGCAAGGCGCGGTGGGGTCACCCTAAGGTTGTGCACGCCAAGTCAACAACACAAAGGGATAACGACTTGCGTTTATTCAGCTCTTTGGGTGCCTTTCACAGTCTGGCTGAGGTCAACTTGTGTGCGCATTCAATGTTCCATCTTCCGACTTCTTGTTTTCATGGTAAACTGCAATTCGAGCACCTGAGCTTCATTCTCTTTGTCAGTACGTCATCGCTCTCATTAGGCAGAAGTGCTAGTTGTTCGTCTTTAGGAATTAAATGGATTGTCGTCTTGCACTTCAAGCGTATTCCGATGGGTGCATCCTGTCCCGTTAAATTTTCCTTTTTTTATTGGGATTTTCTGTTTTCCGCAGCAAACACGCCATCGCACTTGTTCATACAGTACGCTGGAATACTGTACGGGATCAGTTCCGTTTGGAAGCCGAGATGGCTTCCACCCTCGCCGCGTGGATTCTCGCGTTAGCACTACACAAGACTCGGCGTTCTTTCAGGAGGGAGATGTATGCCTGGTCACATGTCCCTTTGACGTATTTCCTCCACATTTCTGACCGTGTGGCAACGTGGGAGCTTCTTTGTCTTGCAACTGCTGACTGTTGTGTCAGATTCTCGCGGGTCCCAGTTGGTCTCTGACTGGACGGCATGCGTTGTCTTTGAAAAAGTCTTTACATGGCGGCAACGGCAACATGGGGGCGTAATTCAGGCCGCTTTTCATTGCTTCTCCTGGAAGACGGTGAGGTTCTTTTGTCAGACCTAGCTGTGCAATACCGTCTAATCGCAGACAACGCATCAACATGTGACAGTCAAAATGTTAATAGGCACTTACACAGATTTCTCGCAAAGTCGGAGAATGGCACCATTTCTGGACGCGTGAAAATTGGCACGAAGAATATCTTCTTTGACAGTGATGACTGGCGTGATCCTGTTTTCCGAATATCGATCTCGTGTGTTGATAGAGCCTGTCTTTCTAGAGATGGTGAGCAGTCATCCGGAGGCGACCACAACAGGGTCTCAGAAGTTTCGCATCCAAATGCAGAAGACCAGGAGACGTCAGTCTTGGTTTTCGCGAAAAGCGGTCAGTTGCAGCGGGAACACGGCAACGATCATGCATACATTGACGTCCATGTCAACGGCGTGCATAGTTTTACGCCTTCGTACACCTCAGAACAGCATTTGCTCGATGAAATACAGGTCTTATTGCAGATCAATTCCTTGCCATCACGACGCAAGCGCGAAGAACGATTGCGAGATCTAGTGGCAGAGCGGGAGTCGAAGGTCGCATTTGATATAACCCTTCTGGAACATGATGAGTTGGAGCACGAATTGTTAGATTCCTCTGCTTCTGCCGTATATGCCATAGCCAGAGGACCGGGTAGGTTTCGAATATACCCCACGAATGTCTACTTTATGCCAATACACGGAGAGTCATCGGAGGCCGTCAAGCGAATACCAATCCGAAAGATACGCTCCATTCGGCGAATGCGACATGGCTGTCAGAATGCGGCACTGGAGCTTGGTTACATTGAAACCTCTGAGGAGGATGATGCACATCGAATAGCCACCTTCATGGTTTCCTTTCCAAGCTCTGCTGTACGCGAGAAAGCCGTTGAGGTATTACTTGGTTTGGTGAAAGAAGGTGTAGAGCTATATGACAGAAGAGAATTAGAGGTTGCCTTGAGCAAGTGGAGAGCGGGAGAGATGTCAAACTTCAGCTACTTGATGTATCTGAACTTGGCGGCCGGCCGAAGCTTCAATGATCTCTCTCAATATCCGGTGTTTCCATGGGTAATTACCGACTACGAATCTGACGAGCTTGATTTGAACTTGCCATCAACTTTTAGAGATCTCTCCTTGCCGATAGGGGCTTTGGACCCGAGGAGGTTGGCTGTGTTTTCAGAAAGGTTTGATGCCATGCCACCACCTCGTTTCTTCTACGGAACTCACTATTCTACTCCAGCGTACACAATTAACTACCTGGTTCGTGCTGCACCGGCTGCTATGCTTCGACTCCAGAACGGACGCTTTGATAACCCGGATAGGCTCTTTAACAGCATTTCGAGTACATGGCGGGGGGTGTTATCAAATCAAGGAGATGTGAAGGAACTCATTCCGGAGTTTTTCGCCATTGGCATAACAGATGGCGCCGCATCAGGAGTTTTAACAAGCCCGTCGACCCCAGGTCAGTTTCTTGACAACATTCAAAGCCTCGATCTTGGTGTACGTCAGGATGGTAAAAAAGTAACTGACGTGGAGCTTCCGCCATGGGCAGGCGGAAGCTCAGAGCGCTTTGTGAGACGAAACCGAGACGCTCTTGAATCTCCCTTTGTTTCTGAGAGGCTTCATACGTGGATTGATATCATTTTTGGAGTGAAGAGTGGGAGCGCTGATGCGAAGAACGTGTTTTACACAGATGCCGCCATTCCAAACTCAATGAATACTGAAGACATATCGAAGATGACGGGGGAAGAGATCGCGCAATTGGAAACAGTTTACCTAGAATTTGGGAGAACACCTCGACGCTTGTTCGAGTATCCACATCCACCGCGGTACGGTTATTTTCATGAAACTACAGACCAAATGGGTGATTCAACAGATATCAATTGGTCTGAACAGCCACAGCTTGACATTGAAACAGAGAAAGAGATCGATAAACAAAATGAGATCTGCAGTACTGTAACTGATTATAGGACAGACAGTCATTCTCGGAGGAAATGTATCAAGACTGCTGCCGATGATGACCGGCATCTACAAACTGGCACCTCATGGGGCCCACACTCTCGACGCCGCAATTCAGTGTTATCTGGTACAGGGGAGCATGTCCTGCTTTCTTATGAACCGAAGGATGAATGTGATCCTCCAGAGCTTCATTCATCTTGTATCGCAAATGTCATACAAGCACCTGAGGACCGTAACTGTTCGAATGCGATTCTTGATATTTGCATTGTTGAAAGTCATCCTGTGGGGAGAACAGATTCATTGCAGCAAGTCAATGATGATCCTTGGCTTTGTACTGTTTGGCTCGATGGTCACCTTAAGATCTATAGTGAATCCAGCACTATTCGTTCAAAGTACTTAGGAGATGTTTCCAGCGTTGTGTATCTATCTCCAAAAAACGTTGTTTACGGAACACAGTCTGGAGATATCAGAGTGTACTACGTCAACACAGGGCGAACCGAAGACCTTCAAAGGGCGGCACATGATGCAGAAGTGACTGCATTGGAGTGCGTGCAAGACTTGCAAGTCATAATCTCCAGCTCCAAGGACGCCAGTGTCAAAGTGTGGCATTTTGACATGCAAAACCAGAGTTTGGCTTCGCTCAAAATAGTTCAAGAATTAGACGCTGAGAGTTCTGTGGAAGATATCAACGTATGCATCGCTCCTGTTAAACGACCGACAAGCACAGTCGATGCCATGCCACAGTTACTGATTGCAGCAGCATCTTTCGAAGGAGACCTGGTGGCCTGGAGCATTCCTGCTTCGGGCATGGAGGAAGACTTCCCAGAGCCTATTTGGAGGGTGGAGTGTCCTGGAAGGTCTCAAAAAGCCCGCGGGGATGCACCAAGGACGAGAGTACGAAATCTCACGTGGCTTTATCAGGGTTTGACGAAGATGCCAGCTCTAGCTTCTGTTCACCCTGAGGACAATTGCCTACGTGTCTGGTCACTGGATGAAACAAATATGGCATCTACGGAGGTGTTCTTATCGACAGGGGTGACAGCTTGCATCACGCAGGCTCCCGTTGCTCGCACTCTGGTCGTGGGAGGGGCGAATGGACAAGTTCATGAATTCGATGGAACTGGGTTATTGCTGGGAAAGGTGATAGTCAAGGGGACTGAGGTTTGTCGTATTTTTATTTCACAACACGCCATGTGTGTGTACCTCTTAACAGGGTCAGGGAAAGCACTGCGTCTCAACCGGTGATCGTTTCGCATGCAGTCGTCACTATTGACTGTTTTTGACGAGAAAGCCGAGTAGAGCGACGCCACAATCTCCCTGCACCCAGTCGGCACAATTAACTTTAAATTATCATCGAGTTCATTTCGTGCTCCGGCAGAAGGACTCTCACTAAAGACAAACAATATATCTCTCATGCACTGCCAATGTCTGCAGAAGCAGACACGGTAGCGTTTGTGGCGTTCAAATGCAAATGAGCCAATTCCACGAGTTCTGGCACTGCGTTGGCGGAGAGTGACGGAAAGTCATACGAAACTGCAGCGTAAATGCAATCCCCATTCGCTTGTTGCACTCTTGCCACGCATGCGCCCGATCCGGAAACTGCATCACCAGTACGCCCATACACAAGATCAACGCCACGAGTTGTCTCGTACTGGTGCACAGCGTAAGATGCGCCGCTCAGAGCAATGCCTGCACGAACGGCATACTCAGCAGACGTGAACAATTTCGAGAACGACCTTAGCATGGATGCGCAGGAAGGCAGAGTGGAACACGGGCATGTCAATTTTTTTAGAGTCTTAGCGCAAAGGGGTCATGCTTGTGCGAAAGTTGAAACGTGGAGCGGCAGTCCAACTCACTTGCATGTTTCAGCATTAAGCGGGTCGATAGAGGTCGGCAGTGACACTTTTGAGTCCTTGTCAGTGAACACGTGAAATTGAGACCATGTGGTTCCAATTTTGGTTGCAGCTGCCGCAGCGACTGGCGAGAAATCCATGTTTTAAACGAGCCAACAACTGCGCGTTTCAAATTAGAGGGCCTCTGTGGAATCCTGGACGTGACAGTGTGGAAACTGCTCTGGAGGGTGGCGCCTCAAAATCCTTAGAAACATCGAGTCCCTTGACGTACAGTATTGGTACGGTAGCATGAAGATGATGCCGACATACGGGCCGCGCCGAAAATGCACAAGGAGACAACTGTCATTTATGCTTTATTCAGAATTTAGGGTCTGCCATGAGAACCGCGGATCTCAATCCGTCCAGGACAATCGGACGGTCCTCCGAAAGGTGTGACGAAGTCGTACTGGGCTGCCGAGGTGGCGGCCCGGCAACAGGTGAAGAGGGGAAGCCCTCACCAGAAATGGCGATAGTCTTCTCTGAAACAGACAAGGTCTCAAATGCAAGTCCTACAAGTTCTCTTCACTGAAATCTAAAGGCGAGCACAACAGCAGTGATTTCGGCTGATCCATTGACCGGTATTGCACGCACGAATTACGCAAGCACAAGGCAAGTATTCAACACCCCATCACGGCACGATCGGTCTGTAGTGATCAAACACTCAACTGTCGAACAAAGACTTTATGAATCGCTCGCAATGACGCCCTCACAACAGTGCCTCCCTCAACACCTCCACACAAACACCAAGCAAACCTGTCAAGAAACGAAAGTGCCTGACAGCGCTTTGCACTGCAAACGTTATGTCTCCCTGCAACATTTGCACTTCGAAGCTCGATACCGTCAAACTATCCCTGATGACCTTCCCTGACAAGTCCAAGACCCCAAACGCACACACAAACACACACGCACATCGTGCTCTCGACCACGCAACACACTCACCCTCCTGAATACAGGTGCGCGAAACCCAACTAAGCGCAGTTGTCTTCACGCACCGGCACCGCCCCTCAACCGAAAGCGAACTGACCCAAGCTAGAGGCTGGGAAAGGCGGCCGTATCGTCGACGTTAGGTGCCATCGGCACCTTGGGGCCATTGCCATACGACCTGTGGCCGTTGGGCCCGGGCCCATCCTGCCCACGACCTCTTCCATAAGTCCCCCTGTTATCACGCCTGCCATCCCTATCCATGCCACGCTCGTACCTGCCACCACGACCCTCGGACCTACCGCCTCTTCCCTCAAACCTTCCTCCCCGAGAATCTCCTCGGCCCCCACGTCCTTCATATCGAGGCGCATGGGTATCGTTCCTGTATGAACGGTCACCGTCGGCTCTCTGCCGCGAATCGGGATCATGCTGCGCACCTTCACGGTCCCCTCTTCTGGAGTCATAGCCGCCCCTCCTGAAATCGCCGCCGCGACGCGGTCCCGAGTATTGGCGGCGGTCCGAGGCGGGATCTCTCTTGAAGAAGCTCTGGATCTCTGCGTTCTTCGCGACGGCGGCATGGGTAGAGTCCTTCAAGGCCTTGTTCTCGTGCTGCTCCTTGACGGGCACGGAGCCCATGAGCGAGTCCTTCGCCGGGCCATGGGCGGGGTCGTCCTTGTTCAGCAGAGACATGTTCTCGAAGCCGGAGCTGACGCCATCGTTGGGCTTGCGGGCGCCTTTGCTGAGCGACGTGAGCGAGGAAGACTTCTGCGCCTTCTGTGCGAGGTACTCCTCTAGAGTCAGATCCTTCTCCTTCGGGGTCGGACGGGGCTTGCCTTCGGGATCTGCGGGGTTTGCGGAGGTCGCGGCATCTGCGTCGGTAGACGGGGCGGCGGTGTCGTCCGCGGTGGCGCGGGCGTCCTGGACGGCTTCGGCGGGCGTTTCGGCGGGGGTGCCCTTGGACGGGACGGCGAGGTCCGTGGCGTCCTCGACGTCGTCCTGAAGCAAGGCGAAGGAATTCATGAGGCGAGGGTGAGACGCGCTCCGAAGGGTGGAGGGCGGGGGGAAGGTAGGGGGAGGGTGAGGGGAGGGGGGTTGGGGGGGTTGTTGTGAGACGAAGGGAGGCAGCAGATGCTGAGCAGCGACGGGCGGAGAAGGGAGGCGAGATTTAAGCTTTGGGGCTTGGCGGGACAAGGTGACGACGGCTGCCCACGGACTCGACGACGACCGCCTCAGCAACTACATGATCACCCATTCAAATCCGTACAAGTGTGTCGTCTCTATTGGATGGTATGCCACTTGGCATGGAAGCAATGGCTGTGTACGAACCAATCAGCACCCGCGGAGGGCCTCCCACATTTCGCAGATTGCCGCGCTTGTGGTCGCAGTGATCCTTGCCTCCGAGATCGTCCTCCTCCTCCTCCTCATCCCCATCCCCATCCCCATCCCCATCCCCATCTCCAACGGCCATCCCGCCCTCCTATCGCTCCCGACCTAACCACTCCGACCTAACTACCGTACTCCCCGCTCCTCTCACCCTTCCCCTGGTCGCCTCCCCCCCTACCCACCTCAGCCATGTCTCCCCACCTCTGCTTCGTCTTTCCTTCGCACGCCGCGGCCCTCTCCCGCCGCCACCGCCCCTGCCCCCCGCCAACCGCGCGCCAGCCGCCCACGATGCACGCCTCTCCACAGCTGTCGCGCCGCGCCTTCGCCTCCCTCCTAGCCGCGCTGCCACTCTCTGCCGCGCTGCCCGCGCGCGCAGACAACATCGCCCCCCTGGTCATGCCGTACAAGGACCTGCCCAAGGGCTTTACCATCCTGCGCCCGCGCGAGTGGAACGAGTTCGAGGGCATGCAGGACTCGTACGACATCAAGTGGCAGGACATCATCCAGCCGCTCGAGTTCATCACCGTCCTCACGTCGCCGCTCCCCAAGGGGAAGACCCTGGCTGACATCGGCGCCGCAGACGCCCTGGGGAAGAAGCTCGCGAGCAAGCGAGGGGGACAGTTGCTGCACGCCGATGCGAAGGATATCGAGGGCGTCCCGGCGTACGTCTTCGAGATTAAGAAGGGCGCTAGCCATCAGCTCACCCTGCTAAGTGTCAATAAGCAGAAGCTCTACTCCGTTAATGCTAGCTGCTCGGAAAAGCGCTGGGGGAGGAGGGAAAAGCTGCTCAGAGGCGTCATCGATTCCTTCCGGCCCAAGCTATAGGGCCGTCGACGCTGCTTTCGTTGCTACTTGCCTGTTTCTTGTGACCGCCACTTTTAACATCCTGTCTCATTACTCATGTTTTGTCCGCCCCTCGGCCCCCCGCGTGGCCAATGCCCAGCATCTGGATAGCCCGGATTTCGCTGCAATAAACAACTACTCCACCATCACCAACCTCATAACCCGCGCCTGCGATACTACGTGTAGGACGTCTGCCTTGTAACACACACCGCGTCGAGCTCCAAAAACGTCGCCACGTCTCTCCCAAAAACATAAATTTACGACGGCATTACGCCCATCTCTCGCAAATTACCCTTCCCGATCGACGAAGCGTATGCACAAACGCTGTTTCCGCAATCCATCCCGACACCCAGTGCGGATCCATCGCAACCAGGGCCGACCAGATGCTCCACCCGTCCGCCAGAACACGTGTTCGCCTCGCCTCACTACTAGATCTTGCCCTCGGCCGGCGCCTCTTGCGGCGCGAGATCCTCGAAGTCGCGCTTGGCCTCGGCGTACGTGATGCCGACGCCGATGCCCGAGCCCAGGCCGAGGATGGCCGAGCGGATGCCCACGCCGCCTGCGGTAGCGATTGTGGTGCAAGGTAAGGACCGCGTGTGGAATGTTAGCGCGTCGTTTCGGAGAGCTGCGTGTGGCGCATGCGCGGATCGAGGATCGCTCCACTTACGGAAAAGTAGGGCGGCGACTACGCCGCCCGCAATGGCGCCGTACGCTGTGCGCTTGATGCCCTTCTCCAAGGCCGTGTCCCACTTCTCGGCGACTTTGAGCTCGCTGGTCGTCATGGTGCTTGTGGCTGGTAGCTGAAGGGAGGGGGCTGGTGGGGAGGAAAGGCGAGGGGAAGCGAGGATGCAGTGAGGGGCAGGCGCAGTCGTGCCGCACGGATCGTCGCCCTAAAAAGTCTAAAAAGATTGTCTGGAAAACCTCGATTTTTGATCACTCGGTACATGTCTATTTTCCAAACGTGTCCTCCTGCCTGCCCGCAGGAGAGCCAGCCCCCACCGTCACCTCTCTTTCAACCGTCCCCAGCCATGCCTTCCAGCACTCGCCCTCCCCGTCACCCACCCGCGGCCGTCTCTACGCTACGCGCCCCCCTTCCCGACGAGCTCGACCCCGTTATCAACCTCGAGTCCGCGTTCCACTCGGAAGGCGCGACCTCCGCCTTCTCCTCGGGCGCGTCACTCGGCACATCCTCCGGGCATTCGATGGGCTGGCGCGCCGGCGTCGCTCTGACCTCCGAACTCGAATTCTACCGCGGCGCAGCAACGGCCCTGCTTTCCTTGCGTGACGCCTTTGCAGACCGCGTCCCCGCCAAGGCAGAAACCTCCGCCCGCAGGCTGCTCGCTACCGCGGAAGGCGTCCACCTCGCCTCGCAAGGCAATGACAAGACCGTCGACATGGACATGCACAAGGACCAGCTGCGCAGGCACTTCCGCCAGATGACTGCATTCGCTGGGCTGCCGAACGTGCGATTCGAACTGAACACCTCGAAAATGTCTGAGCTTGACTTTTGATTCCTTGCCTCTCACCTCTGTGACGCACGCTCCTAGCGCCGTCCCTTCGCGCGGGCGCGGTTCCGTCTCTTGGCCGCGGCGCGCCTTCTCTCGAACTGATCGTCTGGTGACTCGCTCTCATCGCCGTCGTTTTCCACAAAGCCCTCGTCCATGATCTGGTTATCCTGTTCCTCGCGCTCGTCTTCGAGGCGCTTGAGCTCCTCCTTCGCACGCTCTGCCTTCTCGGCGAGCTTAGCCAGCTTGTCAGACGCCTCGACGTACCGCGCGTCGCGGTCGGCGTCAGCGGCCGCCATGGCGGCCGCCGTGGCGTCCGCCACCGGTCGCGGCGGGAGCAGAGTGCGCGGCAAGCTGCCGTGTGAGGCGCGGTGGTGAAGCGCGTGAACGAGGGAGGGAGAGGGCGCGGCGTCGTCTCCTGGGGAGGCGGAGAGATGCTGCCCCAAGGCGAGGAGACGCGCGCGGTACGGAGACAGCTGCTCACGACGCTTCGGCTTGCGTATCCGAGGCGTGACCGCCGCTACGTGCAAGCGACATCGGCAGATTGGGAGAGACGTGTACGGGCAGGAGAGGTGGAAGGGTTGCGCCCGCATGTTGTGGTGGTTTAGAGAAGATGTTGGGGTTGCGTACCGGGTGCAGGGTGAGGAAGCATCGGATGAAGCGGAATGCTGCCGGCAGGAAATTTGGGGCAGCCAGTGGGAGGGCGGGGTGGGCGGGCTGGTAATGATTACAGTGCCTCCTACGATATAGTGCTATAGCGTGACATACCTCTAGCTATGGCACTATTGGGCGGATGGCACTATATAAAGGAGGCTCAAATACATATACTGTACAGTGGTGGCAAAAACTATAGGACAGTAGGCATTTTCCGGTCGCAGGACCTGGATTTTTAAGTACACACCAAGAGCATTGCTGTACGGCGAGCACTGAGCACGGGGAGCCCTAATTTTTAAACAGAATTGCAAGAAAACAAGCGGTTGTGAAGATACTGACTCAAACGTGGAAAACACCCGGCAAAAACTATAGGTACACTTCAATGCAATGAGGCGTTGAAGGAACAAAAGTGCTCACACACGTGAACTCAATAGTCTATCTTCTTCCCTTTGGCGAGGACTACATCCACACACCGCTTGCGCATCGATTGCGTCAAACGCTGTAGTGTGTCAGTCGTAATTCCATTCCAGGCCTCCAGGATGCACGCCGTTAGGGATTGGACATCGCCAAATTGCCTCTGGTTCTCGTACACCCGTCTAACGAGTATACCCCTTAGGTTCTCAATCGGGTTGAGGTCGGGCGAATATGCAGGCCAATCCAGGAGCGAAACAAAGTTGTCATAAAGCCAATCTTTGGCCAGCCTAGAACGATGACAGGGTGCTCTGTATTGCATAAAAGTCTATGTAACTGGTAGATCTTCTGAAAAGGGAACGAAGTATTCTTGCAAAGTTTGCACGTACTTCTGTCCGTCCTGTGAGCCAACCAAAAACGCAAGCTCGGACCTCATCTGACCGGCAAAACACGCCCACACCATGACACTCTGACCGCCGCTGTGCCTTTTGGAAAACCATTACTTCTCTTTCCTCAGATCATGCCACTTGTATGCAAGCCTATCTGGACCGTCCAGATTGAACTTTTTCTTGTCCGACCACACCACAGTGCCCCACCTTTCAGATGACCGAGTCATTCGTTCCATTGCCCAGGCGACCCTACATTTTTCATGTCGTTCATGCATTTCTGGTGTCCTTGCCACCCGTTTATACCGTAAATGAACGTTGTCTTGCAGTAGTTGACGGACGCGACGAGGCTTCACTGTCAATTACAGGGCTTTGACAATGCCGGTGGAGCTGAGAATACCCTTCGCAGCTCCCTGTTAATCCTTTTTTTGTCGGCCTCCGACAGCTTACACGGCCTTCCACCACCATTTATTCGATTGTAGCCGGCCTGGTCCGGTAGCAACGTGCTGACAACGTTTCGAGACCTCCCTAACTCCTCTGCAATATGCGAAACAGGCCAACAGTTGGCCTCATAGGCCACTATCTGGCCCTTTTCGAACGTGGAGAGGCGAGATTTCCAGGCATTTTGTGCAGGAGGGAACTTTTTTCTTATGAACTTTGTGTCCATCACGCCTTTCTATCTTGTTCATGCTACCATTTGCCAAAGTTTCGCGGGAACAGCGTTTCTGGTTCCCGCCATGAATGGTTATGCATTGATTTGTACCTATAGTTTTTGCCGGGTGTTTTCCACGTTTGAGCCAATATCTTCACAACCGCTTGTTTTCTTGCAATTCTGTTTAAACGTTTGGGCTCCCCGTGCTCAGTGCTCGCCGTACAGCAATGTTCTTGGTGTGTACTTAAAAATCCAGGTCCTGCGACCGGAAAATGCCTACTGTCCTATAGTTTTTGCCACCACTGTATTTGGGGACAAAGCACACTGCTAACACAAATGGTGTATTACGCTTGATAAAATTGGGCAACTATTCTGCAAATGTACTGTAAAGAAAAAGTATGATACATTGCAGAATTCTGCAACGTTTTGGTTCAGAAAATGATTTACGCTACGCCTGCAATACTATAATGTGGGAGTATTACATTTTTGTCTCCACACGCACACGAGAGTCGACCAACCGCACCATCGACCTGAGCACAATCAGACATGACCAAGAGGCGCGGATCACAACGGCGACACACCAAAGTCGCCAGCAGACAAAGAGTATCTAGATGGAGACAAATTACGCTAACGCTTCTTTTGAGGAGATCGCAGCTGGCAAACGTGCCTTTGGAGCGTCTCCGTCTATCTCTTGCAGCATACTTGGGTGCTAGATTGGACTACAGCACTCATTTGCGACGAACGCGAACTATATTCCTTTCCAACTACACCTTTAACTTCAATTCATTCACAGACACAGACTGCATTTTTAATTTTCGCTTCGCGAAGCAAGACATCAGCCGTGTAGTGAGAGCGTTAGCATGGCCTACGACAAAAACGCACACAAAAAGGATTTGTTACTACGCTTCTCTCATTCTTGTCACGTGCGTGGTATTACGTCGTATGGCAAGCCCTTGGCACTGGCGCGATGTGGAATTGCAGTTTAGAAAGCACGCTTCCCAGTTGTGCGAATTATTTTGGGAGGGCGTAGAGGCGTTTCTTTCGGCAAGGTTGTCTCTTTTAACAAGTAATCTTTCATCAAGTTATATACATCAAAAAGCACAGTTTTTTGCTACCTCTGTCGCGGAAAAGCCTGGATGGCTGCCCAATTGTATTGGATTTATAGATGGAACAGTACTTAAGATCGCAAGACCGACCGATAACGGTCTCCAAAATGTGGCGTAATACGGGCATAAGTGTGCTCATGCTCTAAAATTTCAACCAGTGACAACCCCCGATGGCATGTTTCTGCACTGCTATGGCCCTCTAGAGGGACGTCGTCATGATTGGACACTCCATTCACGGTCGGATCTCGACACGCAGCTTGAAGAATGTTTATTTGTTGATGGCGTACAGTACTGCATATATGGCGATAGTGGGTACAATTGGAGGGAGTATATGGAAGTACCATTCCAAGGTGCACACTTAAGTGCAGATGCGCGAGCTTTTAATACTTCCATGGCCACCAGCAGAGTTACGGTTGAATGGATGTTTAAAGAAATCAAACTGTTTTGGACGTTGATGGACTTCAAGAGAAAGCTACGTGTCCAGCAGGCACCCGTGGCCTCTCTATACTTTTCGGGGGTGCTTTTGAGCAACATAAGGAATTGCTTGTACAGGAATGAAACGTCAATTTATTTTAAGTGCAAACCCCCGTCGCTCGAAGAGTTCTTGGGTTGGCGGGAGTAGGGAGCTATGAGACAGAGCCCGACCGGAGATTGCGGAAACCAGGTGGGAGTCGCTTAAAAAAACCGACGTGACCGACGATGCCGGCGATAGGATACCCGCCTGTGCGACGAGGTCGTGGTCGCTGTGAAAGCCAATGGGGGTCTCAACGGCGGCTAAAGTGGACAGCCAGAGTGACGAGGTACCGGTCACTGTAAAACCCGGCGGGGCGATGATCAGGCCGGGGGTACGACGTCGATCAGTTCGCAGGCGGCCGTAACATGGTAAGAAGGAAAAGATAGTGGAACGACGAAGGCGCGGAGCACGGGGAAGGGTTAGAAGGGTCTGGGGGCGGACGTGTGTATTTGGTCGGCAGGCTCGGGCGAAGAAATTGGGAGTTTTGGCGACGTCAGGCTGTTGATTTAAAGAAAAGGGTTGTGGAGGCGTGCCGCGGCCAGCGATTGAGAGGCGCTCAGAGTACTGTCTAGCGCTGCCTGAAGGCTTCCATCATCAGCTTAAATTTTTCAAGCTCG